AGAATAATGTTTCTCGTACTGTATGGCTTGTGACACCATTTTGTCGAAACCACATGTCATCTGCATCCATATATTGCAATTTAGGCACAAAAAACTGAATTATAGCAAACGCCATTAACTGTTATTGCCTCACCAGCCGCATTTTCAAAGAATGGTCCGATTATGCCTCCAGCCCAAAGTCCGCACCAAACAGTAACACATTATGTATGCAGTCGTTTCTCAATAATCACTCGTGGATTTTCTGAACCCCAAATGCCACAATTTTATCGATTAACGAAGCCATCAAGACGAAAATGAGCCTCATCGCTGAAGATATTTTTTTTCGAAAAATCAACATCCACTTGTTCCATAATCCATAATCCGTTCAACGAACTCTCTTCGTAGGCTTCATTTCGTGAGTCAATTGAACTTTGTAAGCATGAAGATGCAAATCTTTTGTGAAAATACGCTGTAGAGAGCTTCTCGAAATGTCCAATTCTTGACCACGGTGCCCAATGGACTCTAAGCAACAGTGTCACCAACTGCTTCGATATTTTGTGTTGAACGACTTGTTGAAGCATGGCCAGAAAGTTTAAGATCACTAATTGACCCTGTCTTCCTGAATTTTTCAGTTAATCTCTTAACAGTTGATGAAGTTAAATCACTATTCCGACCATATTATGTACGAAAATTGCGAACTGTACTACCAAACCTTCATTATTTTAAAAATATTACTCAACAATGGAAAGCGTTGCTCTTTCATGTAGTGCTCCATTTTTAATAACAATAATAACCCCTGTTGGAAATTAGGGCTAATAAATAAAACTAGAGACGTCTATTCAGCTCAGCGTTTATTGAAGAAGTGCTTTTTAGATGGGCTTATGATACATATTTCTACAGTTATCAATATACCTCTTTGAGAAAAGCATGGACCAAGCTCGGTCCTATAAGTAATTTTTGTAACCGTATATTTCTCATAATAGTCAACAACCCCGAACTATCAACTGTCACGCTCACTTTTTTTTTCGTTGGCAACGCTTTACGGGACAAATGGCGCAAAATTCAAATCTTGCTTGAATTTTGTGATACTCGATTTTAAAGAAAAAAAAGAAATATCAACTATTTCATGTAGTGGTAATATATTCTTCTCTTCAATTTGAATTTTGAGCCAGAATAACATAAAAACCGAATCGTTAGGAAAATAGAATAAATACATTTTTGGAAAACTCCGCTAACGTTAAAGTAAGTTTCTTTTACATTACCTAGGTCTATGTCAGTAAATTGTTCTCAAATATTAACCATGTGGAAGAATTCAGAGTAGACATATAAACAACTCAAAACTAAAAATATACGTCCCCGAATCTTATTGAACCTATAACAACCCACGCATCACGCGGAAGGATAATTTTGCAAATGAGGTAGATTTATATAATTTCTTCCCCTTATAATTTTATCATTGATAAAGTATTTTATTCATCCGATCATAAAGTACTAGACCGAATTTATTTATCCTTTGAGTGATTTCACGGTTTGTTTATTTTGGATGAAATTAAATAACAGTGGCTGTTATTTCTGACTTCGTTAAAAGTGTGAGGTATGAAACACTTCATTTGTGGGGCAGTGGAAGGTCACTGTTACGGGACATGCTAGATATTTGAAAACAGCTGTAAGATTTGACTTTTTCGTCACTCTTACTAACTTTGCATATAAGTATTTCACGTCAAATCGCTGGGGTCGTGACCGGACCATTTTTAATTTTCCTGATTTTTTGGTATTATTTAGTATCCATTTAGAGTAACTTTCTTGATTTTTTTTAAATTTTTATTTCAACCCCTTCAATTTTGGGAAAAATATTTTCAAATACTTTAGGTACCTGTTAAAAAAGGAGGAACCTTACAAACAAAACATTAACAAATACAACTTTAACCACTTGAACTACCGATATTGTTAAAAAGCACTACAATAACTGTTGAAAATGGCCACCATTTTCTCTAATACATAAAGGACCCCGCACAAACCTTATGGAAATGGATCCCCGGTGGATCTCTCTCAAATTTTGGGAATGAACTCTTCAGAGCATCCTGAACAAAAGTTCTCATGGGCACAAAACCCGGAAACCGCTCCCAACCCCCCAAAGTCACCCCCAAAGGTCGGGCTCATTATACGACACCACCAAAAAAAGTATCAGACCAACACATGCAATATATGGTTTTCGGTGTATTTTTAAGCGCTGGGTACGAATACGTCATCATTTTTGCTCTTGCACGTATCAGTCTTCAGCAAATCGCTGAAGAAGCTTCAGAAAACAAGTCTTCAACTAATAACTGAAGAAGCTTCAAAAACTGAAGAAAGAACATTGTGTTATGTAATTCACATGCGATATGTGCACTCCACTGAAGAAGCATGGTGTTCTTTCTTCAGTTTACTGAAGCTTCTTCAGCGATTAGTTGAAGGCTTAAGGTAATTGACCTGAGAGTCGTGCTCAGCGTACAAAAATACACCGGGAACCACATATCGCAAGTAAATCACAGGCCACAATCTTCAATCTTCTGAAGCGTTTTCAGCGATTTGCTGAAGACTGATACGTGCTAGAGCAAAAATGATGAGAAAGATGATGACGTATTCGTATTCAGCGCTCAAATATACACCGAAAACCATATACTGCATGTGTGGGTCTGTTACTTTTTTTTGGTGTGGTATAATGAGCCCCTGACCTTTGGGGGTGATTTTGGGGGGTTGGAAACGGTTTACGGGTTTTGCGCCCATGAGAACTTTTGATCAGGATGCTCTGAAGAGTTCATTTCCAAAATTTGAGAGAGATCCACCGGGGATCCATTTCCATAAGGTTTGTGCGGGGTCCTTTATCCTCCGCCGAAAATCATTTTTTATGACGTTGCATTTATTATTTATACGATTCCATGAATGTACTTCAGATACAACCGGTGTAAAATAAAAAATAAACAAATTCTTTTGAAGACCTCCAGAGAAAGAAATATCGTTTATTCAGATCTGGTGATCTTGGTGGCCAATTTTCTAGGCAATTATTATTTCCTCGTCCTATCCATCTATTCGGGAACTTCGTACATTAGCACTAAATGCGGTGGAGCACCATCGTTCATGAACCACATATGACATCGTCTTAATTGCAAAGGTAAATCCTCTAATAGCCCAGGGCGAGTATTTTGTAAAAAAAAAATAAATAACGTCTGACAATACCAGCCCACACGTTTATTTTAAATTCATTTCGAAAATGGCGAGGAATTATTGCATGCGGATTTTCATTTTCTGATTCCACTTCGAGTGAAACAGGCCTCGTCCGTAAAAAGAATCTTCTCGTGAAACCTAATATTCTCAAACAAAATGAAATTACAAAAAGTTAATCTTTGGCCTAAATCTTGGGGTAACAATTGTTGAATATTTTGGATATGATAAGGATGAAGCAGATTACGTCTTATAATTCGATAGATCATGGCATGTGGTATATTAAATAGTGCTGAGGGTAATTTTCAATACTTCTTGAAAGTCGTACTTCATTTATTTTCATGCCTTTACTGCTACTCCTTCGTTGCTGACTAGAAATGATCCAGTCTCTCGAGCTCTCCTCTCAACATTAGCAAAGGTCTCCTGGTGTGTAATCAAANTTTCTAGGCAATTATTATTTCCTCGTCCTATCCATCTATTCGGGAACTTCGTACATTAGCACTAAATGCGGTGGAGCACCATCGTTCATGAACCACATATGACATCGTCTTACTTGCAAAGGTAAAACCTCTAATAGCCCAGGGCGAGTATTTTGTAAAAAAAATAAATAATTTTCGCTATTCAGTCGGTTGGGTAGAATAAATGTCCCAAATAAATAACGTCTGACAATACCAGCCCACACGTTTATTTTAAATTCATTTCGAAAATGGCGAGGAATTATTGATGTGGATTTTCATTTTCTGATTCCTCTTCGAGTGAAACAGGCCTCGTCCGTAAAAATAATCTTCTCATGAAACCTAATATTCTCAAACAAAATGAAATTACAAAAAGTTAATCTGGCCTAAATCTTGGGCTAACAATTGTTGAATATTTTGGATATGATAAGGATGAAGCAGATTACGTCTTATAATTCGATAGATCATGGCATGTGGTATATTAAATAGTGCTGAGTGTAATTTTCAATACTTCTTGAAAGTCGTACTTCATTTATTTTCATGCCTTTACTGCTACTCCTTCGTTGCTGACTAGAAATGATCCAGTCTCTCGAGCTCTCCTCTCAACATTAGCAAAGGTCTCCTGGTGTGTAATCAAACGATCAAGAAATCTTGTTTGATACGACTGTACACATCGTCGTCAATTACCCTCACAAAACCCCAATACTAACAATATGTCAACTTTCTCACGAAATTTGCGGAAATGCAGGCATTTTCCAAGTCGATGGAATAGTACGTGAAAATGTGCAGTCTTTGTAAACGTCAAAAATGACACATGAAATCATAGCCTACTAATCGTAAAACTGCATACTTTAGTTTTTGTCCGATTGACGGTTAACAAAATCCCAATTTTCTCAAAAACCGTTATTTTTTCGAAAAATTTGTAAGCGTAAAAAAATTTTTTAAATTAAATTTCTTATAACACTTATATATATAATAATTGGCATACTGATAAAAAAAATCGATATCATTTATAAGGGCGCCCTACCCCTAGTCCCGCCCTTATGCTTCCAACAAATTCATACCAATTAAAGATAACAATAAACGCAAATCGTGTACCAAATTTGGTTGCTCTAAGTTAATACATTGCTGAAATATTATTGTTTTTCAAAATTTAATACTCATCTTCAGAGGCCAATAGCTCTTCAATTGTACATCCTAGAAAAAAAATGTTACATAACAAATCGGCATATTTTAAGATCCTCTACACGTGCCTGCTCTGTGTCGGTAGAGTTATGAAACACCCTGTATATAAAATAGGAAAATATTCTTTCCTGATGAAAAAGTGACCATGGAATACTAATAACATTTTGTTTTTTATTTCAGATATCGCAAATTAGCTTTAAAATGGCATCCAGACAAAAATCCGGACAATATGGACGAGGCAACAAAACGATTCAAGGAAATATCTGAGGCTTATGAAGTACTTTCTGATGGTAAGTTACTTTCTAAGTAATAAAACACTAGAACTTACTATTAATGAGTATAAAATAATGTAACATTATTTTGAGGAAGATAGACGGTTCAAATCTTTGCTGTTATAATTTTATTAGTCACAAGGCGACCTGACTATACTTGGTATGATGTAGGTGGTACCCTTGCAAAGTGTGGTTCCTACGAACATGAGCAAATATCGCTTTCATATTCACAGAAACAAAATATGCGACGTTTCTAGACGATATCGTAAAGCTTTTTCGGCTCTTATGACAAACCATTGACACGACAGTATTTTTCACCCCATGGATTGTTTATTTTTAAACCCATTTAAAAATACTTCGTTTGTGTGTAAAAATAACACACGCATATGTGATAATGACGTAGCAATTGTAGAACTGACGCGAATCGGTAGAGTTGCTGCCAGGAGCCGAAAATTTGAATTGGGACTTTGAGTTTCCACATTGCCTTAATATACAAATTGCATTAATTTCTAAATTAAAATTTTTTAATTCTGAAGTTAATGGGAACACATTCATTGTATGTTTGATTATGCAATTTTCACGTAACTATTTTCTACAGCAGTTGTTTTTACTCCCAAACAACAGTCTTGCCAAGTGCTATTAGAAAAATTCAGTACGCTTGTCTAAATTTATATACATGTATTCGTCAGGTGGTTGAAATTTTATCTCTCCATAAATTACAAGCAACACATGTCTATGACTGGAAAATTATTTTGCATTAATAAACGATCTTTCTCAAGAATTAAGTACATAGTTTTGAAAATACTAGTAACTTTCTTCGCGTTATTGAGTACCTGTTTAAGGTTTGGTAGAGAAAATGTGTTAATTCATGATAAACTTTACAAATATGAATTTGAGTATTTGTTTCTTCAAATACCAAATGGGTAGATATTCTTCAATAGTCATTTGCTTTGCTTAACTATTAGCACCAGCCACTGGTCGTACCATTCTAATTTTTTCAGTTTATTTTTTATTTTCACCTTTATTTTATTTCAGTTTTACTCACTTTCAGCTTGTTGTAAATTTATGTACCTTCACTCTTATTTTTTGGTCTAATTTGACCGGACTATTAATAGTATTTAGAATTGGATAATAGACAGAATTCTGATTATACAGAGTGTAACAGTGACGTTGCGTCAATCTTCCAGGACTGATTGCGTCAAAGCCAATATTTTTTTTCGAAGATAGAGGCTTCAAACATGATACAGTTCTGTTTCCTTTCATAAATAATATTTATTTGCAATATGGTGCATATTAGTGGTGAAAAATAGGCTTAAATGCAATGGTGCACTTGCTCATTATACTGGTTTTTTAAAGAAAATGTCGTACAAAAGTGAATACGCCGCAGCAGAAAATTTAGCCAGTTCGTAGCCCCGACCTCAATCCCTTAGATTTTGAATTGTAGGCTTAAAAGATTTTGTTTTTAAATAAAGAAGACATTGTTTCCCGCAAGGACCTTCTGGCAAACATTCAAGCGGGAATTAATGCCATTGGGAAGAACAAAGAACGTATTTTAGTCGAGTAAGACAACAAGTAGGGGAATAAGGAAATGTATTGAGGTCAATGGTGAGCATTTCGCCCACTTATTAAATTTGTAAGTATCATTGTTATTACTGTATTATTCCCTTTATCATAAACAAGGCATATTCTAGTAAGACATCTTTACCACAGTATACAAAAGAAGTCACAAGGCAAAGCGTACGTAAGTTAGTGCCGGAATAATATTAGTAGTAGTCGGAAAGCACGCTACGGCATCGAATTATTAAAAGTGGGAATATATCAGAATCGGAGCAGTTTATCTATATCAAACACGTACCTATTCCTTTTTTTTAAATATCTAGCCGATCAAATTATTTATTGAAAATATAGATAAGACTTTGCATAAAAATATTGCGGGGAAAGTTAACTATACAGTAAAGCTAAATGATAAACAATCTACTTAAAATTATTTATCAAATCAATTTTTTTTTGTTGTCATTAGTGTCAGCTTCACAAAACATAGCCTATTTAGGTTAGTGGCGGAATAATACTAGTAGCGGTCAGAAAACACGTGCAACGGCAACGAGTTATTAAAGGTATCAAATATATCTACTACCTATTTCCTTAAAAAAAAAAAATCAGCCTTGCCAGTTACACACTAGACAATAGTGCCATAAAAATTAAGTTCAACTTCGGATTTCTCAGTATTAAAATTTTCATGTTTCGAGTTTCTGCACTATTTTCATTAAAGGTGTCTACATTATTATTATTATTTAAAATCAAACATTAACGCCATCGTAAACCAACAACATTTTACTGATGCATGTTTGGGTAAATGGTAAATCCTATTATTTTGATGTCTATAATTTACAGTTACTCTATAACCAATTCATCAGGGATCACCTTGTATATTTCATAGTTGAAACACATGTAGATAGAGTTACAGTGAGGCAACTACACTGTAGTAAATTTGAAGTACGTATATATATATATATATAAAATTGATGATAATTAATCAGACTTTCACTCTAGTTTTTTGTTTATTTTGCGAGTGTCCTGAAATGTAATCGTGTTGTTATATTTGAAATGTAAAAAAAATGATGGGGTATCACATCTGTTTTAGTATTGTTAGTCTAATTGTAATAAATCCGCTGTTCAAAAATTCGTGGCAAATAGAAATATTTTAATGGTAAATGATGTTTTTTTTTTGTATCACCTAACTGCCTATCTAGTTCTACCTGATTTCATGTTACCCTCCATAATAAATATTATAAATCGATAATCGACGTGGCGAAAAATATGACCTTAATACATAGTTACCATTTATTTAAGCTCATCTTTCACCTAAAACTTTATTATTTATCGTACAAGTGATCTAAATTCTGACAATCATAACACTTAGCTACTATGTATTCAGAATTTATTTAAAATTATCAGTTTTTAAAGCTTTTCTTTAATTCTATTTTCTTGGAAATATCGTAATTTGCTATTATTTAAAACTGTTGTACTCAGATGTCTGTTAATTTTTTGCAATAGGCAGTCTTCATCAATTTTATTGTATTTATTAATATCTACATTGACTCTGGACTCATAATACGAACACTAACTGTTCTATTAAATCAGTCCGTCAGAACGGACGTTCAAAAGTAACTAAAATGATTCTATTAAATAATAAGTGACATTAGACTTTAAATTGTTTAACAGGACGTTTTAATTCAAACCATTATCGAAAATAAAGATTTAAAAGTACCAGCCCTAAAATTAATTACTACAATTCATAAAATAGTTGCTTCCTGAGAATATTGTCGCAATGCTGTGACTATTTCCACCTGTTTTTGATAACTTAAAAGAGACATTTTTCAATGCAATATGCATAATACAGGAATGTTATTTCGTTTGTCTCGCTGACAATTTATTTTTCTTTAACACACATACTTAAAAACTATCTGTGTAGTTTCATTGTTTAAATTAGTCTGAAATTCCGAGGTTTGGTATGCACCTTTTGTTTTGAAACCTGATTGAAATTGTGAGAAACTTTGTATTACATAACTACACTGTTATTGTCTTCCAAAAGAAAGGCCATTTACCTAATACCGACAAAAAGTTTATCAAACCGTTTACCAATACTGTTTACAAGTTTTTTTATTTAAAACATTTACGCGTCAGTAATTCGTTGGGTCCATCGTAGATTTAAGCAACCGTATGGTTCGCATTTTTTTACTACACTTTCTATTACATGAACACAACACAATCCATATCTGATATTTAGATACAGCTACCTGATTTTAATTACAAATGAATTGTTTTTCTATAAGCAACTGTAACATTGGTTACGCATAATTGGGACAAAAAAAATGTATATGGATCTCTGAAGGATGAAATTAATAAAACAATTTGAAATTTTTAATCAGTAGCCATGAGATTTTGGAATGAACCAAATAGCAGCGGATTATTAATCGCGCTTGTTGACTAACCATCATCCTTTGGCTTTTTTATATGGCAAAGACCGCTTACGCTAAACTGGAAGAATTAGACCTTGGCAACAGGTCAGTACTCATATCGCGTTATGTCATCAATTTATTAATATATTCTGTATTATTGAGTACAATTCAGCAAAAGTCGTGAAATAGTTCTATTATTGCAAACAGTTCCCACGTGTTACGCCTATTAATATTACCATATTTCTTAAAAGAAAAGTTGCTGCGAAACTTATATAGACAATAGTGTCAATAAATAATAAAAGCAACGTATCCTGTATTTTTGTTTCAAATAGCTGCAAATTACTGATTTAAATTAAAAAAAAACAGTACTAGGTGTCTTAGACAGTATGCTGAATACATCGACTATTAACAATTATATACGAGTAGGTATATCAAAGTATTTTCAGTGTTTTAAATAATATTAGTGCAACCTTGAATACTATCTTCTAGGAGTGAGTAATCATGCCAGTACTCAATGATTATTACTAGGAATTATTACACATTTTTGCATATTAAGAATTTCAACTCAAAATGTAATACAGGGTGTCTCATAATTAACTGCCAACCCTGAACAGACCGATTCTATGATCAAAACTAAGTAAAAAAGTTCATATGAACATGGGTCCGGAAATGCTTCCTAAGGGCACAGGGACCCATTGAAGAGGGAGGAATGGAAATCATTTTTTTGCAATATCTCTCAATCGCGTTGTGATAAATGAATGAAATTTGGTATACACAGCTAAATTTTGATGAGCAATTTGATGGACTAATCCATTTATTTCCACAAGGTCCATTGGGGTGGGTACAGGGGGCCCTTGGTACTTTGCGTTTGTAACTTTTTCATCTTTGACTTTTTAACAAATTGGACAGCAAATTTCGTTTTCCCGCACTGTTTTACGTTAAAAAGGTACTCTTGTTTCAAATCGTTATCTTTAACGGTTTCTGAGAAAATCGCTCTTGAATTAATCCCACTTTGGTCAATTTCATAGTAATTTAAACAACTCACTCGCTAAATATTTG